AGGAATTGCAAAACCAAAAGGTTACTGTTAAACAAAAATTAGTCGCTTATTTCATTTCAATAATGTTCCAAATTATTTCTACAAATTGGTGGAGTAATCTATACTTTAATGGTTTCTGACCAATGGTTACTGACCAATGCAGTACATTAACCAGGGAAAGTCTTAACTTTTTTGGAGGTATTATGATGTAACACACAACAATATTTATGTTTTGTATTTGAGGGATTTTTATTAGCATGGTTCTTTGTCACCCAAAACAATCTCAAAAAAGCCACTGGATATTCACTGTTTATAGTTATGCTGCTATAGGCTTAGACTTCTGGAGGACATAGGGACCCCCATTTCATCATTCTGCTTCATTCTCCATTCTCCTATTCTGCAGAATCTGTTAGTTCAATCTCTAACGTTATGCTCTCTCTCCTTTTTCTCAATGTAAAATGCATTTTATTACCAACATGCAGTTTATTGGAAAACATTCACTTTTAAACATGTATCTTTGGATACAGTACCTTTGTGTTGACTCCATTGGTTTGCCATGCAAATTCCACCTCAAACATGATTACAACTGTATACTGTATACACACACACACACACACACACACACACACACACACACACACACACACACACACACACACACATATACACACACAGCTTTGTTTTCATGACATATGGGGACATTTCATTCACTTGCATTAATTTTATATGGCCCAAGCCAGTCCCTTTTCCTAACTATTACCAGCATATACCTTACCCTAACCCTTACCTGAACTGAATTTACACCTCAGTTTTAAACCTAAGCCCAACTTAAAGAACAGATATGTACCTGTAATTCCCCTCATGTATGATTTTTTTCAAAAAACTCCCCCCATGATTTAGGTAAAAATATATATATATTGATAACATATATTATATATATATATATATAATTATATATAATGTGTATACGGTATATATATGTGTGTGTGTGTGTGTGTGTGGGTGCGAATATATATGTTTGTGCTTCAGAATAAAATGCACTGGAAAAACAATCTAGAAATAAGTAAAAAGGGCTTAAATTAAGTGCATTTACCCCTAATTTGAGTCAGTTAATAAAATAGTTTGCCAATGGAATGAGTATTTTTACTCTTAAAATAAGATAATTAGATAACATGCACTTGAAATAGCACAATGCAATTGTGTTTTCTTATTTCAAGTGTAAATTGTCTTGTTCCATTGGCAAAATGTCTGTTTTACCTCCTTAATCCAAGAGCAAATGCACTTATTTAAAGAAAAAAATTACTCATCTAGATTTCGATTTTTTTTCCAGTGTGGTGCCCCATCATCAATCATTATTTACTGTTTAGAAAGCAGAGTTTATTTTACTAACCACAACCAAGAAAATTAATTTAATAGAACCTGACTGACTGGTTTTTAAATCATAACAACAATGCACAAACAGTTGAACAGATATCTCTGGAGGCGTGTTCTAATGAGATGACTGTTCTATGATGACATCATCGTAGAATGTTTGTAAGTAGAGCAGCTGTTCAGTTCCCATTTACTAGCACAAGGAGCAGTCTTCATTTCGTTTCATTTGTTATCTCGTCACTAAACTTGTCAAATAACAGGAAAACTGCTTTAGCACGGAGAAGGCTGTTTTTTTTCTTTAATGGTGTAGTCTCGCTGTTTGTTTTAGAGCTTGAGTTTGAGTTTCTTTCGTAGATAACTTGTCAAGTAACAGGTAAGACGACTACTTTCCCAATAAAAAAAGCAGTTTTTCCAGCTTTAGTGATATAAACCCACTGTGTATTTTACAGTTTAGAGCAGGTAACATTTGTGTAAAAAAACACTTTTGTACAATGTCTTTAAAACAACAACCCAGTTTATCTTCTAAGAACCGAGACTCGGTTGAAAGTTTAGCAATTGTTCCCAGCTCACCTGAAGCTCAAACTGAGAACTTCTGCATAAAAAAGGCTTTCTGTAGTTGCATTTGTGCTGAAATTGAGCAAAGATGCAATTTCTCTGCAGCCAGTCCACCTGCTGCAGAGAAATTGCCACTAAAAAAGCGCCCAAGGATTTCAAAAAACTGTAATAAAAAACCAGGTTTGGTTGCCTCTGATGTTAGTCAGAGTTTTTCCAGGCAGTAGAAGACAGCAAGTCAACATGGTGCTGTACATCCCCCAACCAAGCCTATTCTGCCATCCATCAGCTCCAAGAGTTCCTCCAAGGAGCAGACATCGCAGACACCCTGGAAATGTGTGGGAGAAACCCAGCCTCCCACAGAAAATCGTCCAAAGAAAACACGAACTTCAAAAAATGTGAGCCATTTAAAACGCGATGGCAAGGAAGAGTCCCTCCAACAATCTACTACCTCCAAGAGTTCTCCATTGAATCAAGTGAAGACAACTCAGCCTTCCACATGCAATTTTACTGACCNAGGAAGAGTCCCTCCAACAATCTACTACCTCCAAGAGTTCTCCATTGAATCAAGTGAAGACAACTCAGCCTTCCACATGCAATTTTACTGACCCAAAACTACCAGTGAAAAAAATCAAGGTGTGGACAAAACCCTACTTATAAAAAATCGTGCAAACACTCTACTGGCTCCAAGAGTTCCACAGTGGAGAAGACATCATGCTTGCCTCCACAAACAAAGCGATAAAGATATTGGGCTTTACTTGGACCACAGAGCCAATCCCAATAATAAAGCCACCAGGGAGGTTTGCTATTAACCAAGAAAAATTGTGAAAGTATAAAAAAACCTCTTTAATGACCGAAAGAAAACTCAGTAAAGAAAATGTCCCCTCTGCAAAACTTTAGGTTTCCTGCACCTAGAATCAGGAAACTACTTAAACCAATCCTGTTTTCTGTGTCACCAAGAGGGAAGAGCAGTGACAAAGGAATACACGGATATCGTTTACTTTCAAGAGGTTCATCTGATCTAAATACTCATTAGTTAAACAGGAGGCCTATTTCACAAAAGCTGAATTTAGATATATATGATAAGACCTAGTGTGATCACTGCAAACTGACGACTATTAACTACTTGGCATTAAAAGGAAACTACGCAGGGCTCCATGGTGTTACAGGTTCTACAACTGTACAACTGTTGCTTTGCATCAACAAGGAACAAGGCTCCATTTCCAATTTAGGGTCTTTCTGCATGTAATTTGCATGTTCTCCCTGTGCATGCATGGGTTCACTCCTGGCGCGCTGAAGACAAGATTTCACAGGGCTCACAAACAAATGTGATTGACAATAACTTCTGACTGACATGAAATNAAATAAAACATTCTTATTTTGCGCACAATCGCTTTCTTTTTAAGAAATATATTAAATAAATGAAATCATTTAACACAAATGACACTAAATACAATTTCCCAGTTATATAAATGTCCTCCATAATTGTCTCATGTACCTACCAGGCTGGCAGAGACAGCCGTCACACAGTTCTCCAGATCTTGACAGAAGTTTATCTTCCCAAAATTATGGTTGTTAAAGTATTGCCACCAGATTCCCACCTCTATGCTTCTACCTACGTTTCAGCAAGAGCAAAGCTTTGTTTTGCCTTGGCATTAAATTCCCCCAGTGCACCTCCCACTGTGGGGGCCAGGGCCCTCCCTGGACCATCAGTTACACATTAACAGTCTGCATGGCTAAAGGTGATGGTTAGGTCCATCATCCTAATAGAAATCTAGGTTTTCTATAAATAGATATTCTATTTTTTTTTTTATTTTTTTTTTTGCAATAGTAGTTTAAATGTTACTTAAAATAGAAAACTAAGCAGAATTTAATAAGGGGTCGGTTTCCCAGATTTAGGAATGGGTTCAAGGACCTGAGAGCCTAATGAAAAAAATAAAAATAAACATTTATGTATGTATTTATTTATCCATGATTTTATCTTTTGCATTAACCAGCCAATATCAGTTTGTGTTTGTGCCATAGCCTCCAATCTAACCTCCAAACACACTGAATGCAGAAGTTTGATCTTTAAGTAGTTTTTTAAACAGAATGTGTTAAAACACCTCATACTTTAGTTACAGTAATGTTTGGGTTTACGGGGGTTTATGGGGGATTTTCCAGAAAGAAACAAATGCAAAGTATCTTGTGTAAAACCTCTTTTACTATCTAAATGAGAAATTAAAAACTCAGATTAATTTGTACCTAATTTGCATTTACAAACCATTATAGAGTGATTAATATTTTTGGTTTGCCGTTAAACGCCACTTATTTCCTGCTGTCTACTGAAGCATTATTCACATTGATCACATATGTTTTATTTTTCAGGAAGCATAGTTACTTCCCATTTTCTAATTTAAAAAACAGCAGAAAAAACAGTTGGGGGATCAAGTTTATGTATTTCTGTGATACTTAAAGATATTCTTCAGTTATTCAAATTATATCTTTATGTAATAAAAATTTAAACCTTATGACGGTCCCAGAATGGCAGTTTGGTGCCCACTAGTCAGGTCTGAAAGAGAAAATTTTGTTTCAATAATTGAGGAAATGTTAAATGCACATAATGTTTTTAGCTGCTTCTTTGTTTCCTTTTAAGTAAAATACTCCCAGCGCCTCAAAACACACTAAAATGTAGTTAATCTTTAAAATCTTCTCCTATGAGGGACGTATAACTTCATGTGCTCAGTTTAACTTTTATCAGCATGTTTCATCTTTTCCTCTGCAGCCATCAGGGACCTCATAAAACTGCACAGGTCTCATTTTTGCAGCTCGATTCTATTTATTTAGACATCCACACCATCTGAATCTCATCAGAAAACAACCTGAACATTTATACTTAGTTATTGTGTGATTTAAAGCACAGATAAATCAGACATATCCTTTTAAACTTTAAGCATTCCTTATATAAAAATCTTAAATAAATTAAGAGGGATTATAGTCTGTAAATAAATTAGGTTAAACAATAAATAAGCAAGAAACTTTGTATAGAACAGAAAGTTGTTTTGAAAATAATCAGATTTACCTTTAGTGACTTGCATTGCTGCATTTCCCAAAGCTTAAGAAAACTTTAAATAATTGCATGACAACATTTTCCTCTTTCATTGATGACTACTTTTTTTTTAAGAAGCAAAGATGATTACCAACTAAGGAAACCGATTTAAAAATATAAGAAATAAAACATTCTT